AGGAAGTTTGGAGCCAGGGATCTCAAGACAAAAGAAGCTCTTAAGAGTCATTAGCCCCATCACCTGGGAAGCAGGATATGATAATGGGATTAAACCACAGATATCAAGGCCTAGAAAAACACTCAGAAATAGCCTCAAAGTTCATGCCACAGGAACAGGAAACTATCCCAAGCAGGGCTGGGAGGGGGGTATAAAAAGAAGCCCATGTGCTCACTCTCTTTTCTTCTCCTCTGCTGCTTATCTGTCTTCTGCAATAAACTGTAACCTTCTTCCCAAAGCAGTCGCCATGTTTGCTTATTTATTCCCGGCTTGGATGAACCAGGATGAAGACTTACTTCTAACACCCTATATATCAGGGAACAGATATATAGATGCAAAGTTTTTCTTGTTTTGCAGAGTTTAAAATGATGTAGTTTTGGAATTGCAAAATCTATAGAAAGATACTTTTATTTCCACCTTAAAATCCACTTCTTCAAGGTAATAATTTTTTTCTGTCCCCCCTTTCCCATATTCCTTAGTTCATTGGCAAATCATAAGGTTGAAGTCCAGTTCTCAAAATATTCTTCTGTTATATAATAAAAATAACCGTAAAAATCACACCTCATCTTTATATTCCTTGGTCTAATAATGGAATATTATTCTTACATTCTTTATAAAGGGTGGCAAAACTCAATATTTCTGCTTCATTAATTTTCAGATAGAATCAAGAACCAGTGATGAACTTAAGGAAGTGTAAGTATTTTTTTCAGAGCAGGACTCAATATGCCAGAACTATGAGGTAATTTATAAATTGACTTTCTCTCACAAATGAGACATATAATAGTAATACTATTAATTATTTCTACTGTTTAGAAATAGTAGCCTTGTGGGCTTTCTAATGTTCTGGATGGAAAATACATTTAGAAGTCTGAAGTAACATCATGGGCTCCATCACAGAAGATGGCCAACATAGTAAGATATAATGTATACTTTATAGGAAACAAAATGGTGATAAAAAAGATGTAACTTGACCAAGAACTAACCCCATACAAATAATTTTTTTGTCAAAGATAAATTAAAGCTTAAAGAGATGAAATTAGCTATTTTATAAAAAGTATTACTTGTGATGTTAAAATGTGAGTATTAATATTAGGATGGTAAAATAGGATCTGAATTTCAAAAGGTAAATGCTTCACAGATTCATGAGATAGCATTTATGGGCAATAAATGTGCCCATAAATGTTCCAAGTTTCATACTGTCTATCATAATCATATCAGTAATGAAATACAGCCTGTATAATTATAGGATTTTTAAATTGCATACTGCACCTATGGCAGTATGCAATGAATCCTCTATTCTCCTTATTAGTCTACCTGTTTTACAGATAAAGCTAAAAGAGAACTTTTAAATAATTAAACATAAACAAATTAGCTAAAGTATAATATAAGCATAGTACTTTTACCTGATATTTGTTTTAGGAGAGCTCTTTTATGTCCATTAACAGCAGCAGCATGAACATGTGATGCTAATGAGGAACCACTGAATAGCCATGTTTCAGAAACATTCATACTTCTGAAAAAATCAAAAATGCATAGTTGCAGTAAAGATTTTAGTAATTTTGCATAATTAAAACTAATTTATTTTGGTGAAAACAATCTCTGGAGTACTTTTATTTTGATAGGATGGTGCTTACAAGTTTTGAATTTTGTATAAATAATGAACTAAAATGTTATCTATTTTCATGCAAGTTCTAAAACTAGATAAAAATAACCCATTAAACAAATGAGTCAAAAACATTGGACTTGCTCATTTATTGAAGAAGAAAAATGATCCAAAGCTACATATTTGTGCATATTTGGAAAAAAGCAAGTGACCCTCTAAGATTATCAGTTCATTTGAAGGAGAAATTTTGTAATGTGTTTCAGTCAATGGGATGAAAATCAAGTATGAGTGGGGAAGATCCTGTCTTATTTAAAAAGCATTCACTATCGAAGTCTGAACTTGTACAAATGTATATTAACTTGAACAAAGAATATTTCTTTAATTGGAAAAGATTACAACATTATTTTTAAAGAGTTTGAACTCCATCATTGTCAGACAGATTGTGTACCTGTAAAGGTAATTTAACACCATTGCCCTCCTGAGGAGTGGTTGACTAACCAAGATCACGCCAAAAGTAAGGTAATAATTCAGAAGGTCACAAATAAGCTGAGGGTAATGTCTAAGGAACTAAAAACTTCTTTTGTATTGGTGAATGATGAATGATAGTTCATTCACATACATATATATGCGTAATACACATTGAAGTGTGTAGAGAAATATATTTATTAGTAAGCTCAATGTAGTGTGCTTTCCATTGTTAAGAAGGATAGAATGTTGAATCTAGTAAAAAAGAACATATTTCTTGCATTACTGGACATTTATTTCTTGAACTGGACTGATTCACAGGACCAGCAACCAGGTGGAGCCTAAGATAACATGACTGACTGACTAGAAATCAAGCAATGGAAACAATCAGATGATCTGTACAAATACAGAAATTCTGAGTTCCTTTTAAAAGATTCAAGAAGGCAGGGAGCAAAAGGTCTATAAAATCTCTTATTTATAGGCAAACAGAAGGAGAGGCTTCAACTATCTGGGCTAGATTTCCAGAGCTCAATTTTTCCACTCATAAATACAACTACGTTTCCACATATTCCAGTAGAGTAATCTAGAGATTTACTTTCTACAGGTTGCATATGATAGGAAAATACTAAGCAATCACTAATGTGATATCTAAATACATTGAATCATTTATTATTCTTCTCGTTTTAAAAAATCTATGTTATTAATTTGCAACTAAAACAGTTAAATAGTCATTTAACAAGTCTTCGAGATTCTTATTTGGTATAGAAAACAAAATTTACTTTTTGTTTATACCTTTTAATTTTTGTCTCCACATGTAGCTCCTCCTGGGGCCCTTAGCCCCCAAAAACATGTTTACAACAGCAATGACTTACTGAATCTTAATCAAACCTATTTCATGAATGTAAAAAAAGCCCTCACAAAAGGTGACAAGCAACAGGGAGAAAGCAGAATTATTTAACTCGTTTTTTGCATCTGTCTTTACACAAAGGGAAAAAACAGACCAACTACCAAAAATAGTGCCATAGAAAACAGAATAGAAACGCAAGTTAAGATAGGCAAGAAAACGGTAAGTGAGCACCTGTCCAGCCTAGACGAGTTCAAATCACCAGGACCAGATGGATTACACCCCAGGGTTCTCAAGGAACTGGCAGATGTGATCTCAAAACCATTGAACTATATTTTTCAAAGATCCTGGAGCACTGAGAAACTACTGGAGGACTGGAAAAGAGCTGATGTAGTTCCCATCTTCAAAAAAGGAAAAAAAATGGACCCAGGAAATTAAAGACTTATCAGCCTGACCTCAATACCTGGGAAGATTTTGGAAAAGATAATCAAACAACGAATCAGCGAACACCTAGAGGCAAACAAAGTCATTACTAAAAGCCAACATGGGTTTGTCAAAAACAGATCATGCCAGACAAATCTTATTGCATTCTTTGACCAAGTGACAAAATTAGTGGATCAGAGGAATGCTGTGGATATAATTTACTTGGACTTCAGTAAGGCATTTGATTAAGTAGATCACAACCTACTACTAGATAACATAGAAAAATGTGGGTTAGACAGTATCACCACCACATGGATTCATAGTTGGCTGACCGGCCGTACTCAGCGTGTGGTCCTCAATGGAACTGCATCTACATGGAGGGAAGTGTATATGGGGTGCCCCAGGGCTCTGTTCTAGGCCCAGTGCTCTTCAACATCTTCATCAACGATTTGGAAAAGATAAAAGATAAAGAGACTGGACAGCCATTTGTCCGAAATGGTGTAGGGTTTCCTGCCTGAGCAGGGGGTTGGACTCGATGACCTCCAAGGTCCCTTCCAACTTTTATTATTATTATTATTATTATTATTATTATTATTATTATTATTATTATTATTATTATTATGTATAAAAATAATAATAGCCCTATAAATACATGTCTGCTCACCATACAAGCCTATTTAAAACATGGTGGCTGGTACAGCAGCTATAGAAAAAATAATAATGATTACGAGGAATAAGAGATAAAATCAATACTGATACAATATGCCCTTAATTTCCAGAATAAATCTAATATTAAGATACATAATTTTATCTTTGCTAACATCAATTAAAACAGGTCTTACAATGACAAAATTGAGTGCATTTGTAATAGAAGTAAAAATTTTGAAGTTGATTATATACAAGGAAAGAATAACATAACTCATATCCCCAACGCTGAGTGTTTGCAATCAAAATAGGCCTCTGAATATAAGAAAATGTGTGTTTACATCCTCCTCCTTTATACAGTTCACTTGCCTCCTGTTTATTATTTTCTAGTGACACTAGTAAAGCGGGCACAGCATTTTCTGCGCCGCATAAGAAAAGCACATCTTCCTTCCTCTGTCCTTACCACTTTCTACAGAGGGATGATCCAGAGCATCACATCATACAGCATCACAGTCTGGTTTGGAAGCCTCACTGCTTCAAACAGGAAGGCAATGCAGAGAGTGGTGAGGATGGCTGAAAAGATCATTGGCAGTTCCCTTCCTTCCATCCAGGACATAGCACATAAGCATTGCTTGAGCAGGATCCGTAAGGTTGTCTGGGACACTACACATCCTCTTCACGACCTGTTTCAGTCATAGTTTTGTTCCATACAGCATTAACCTTGTGAACTCTCAAGCTTCCTCCTTCCGTTATATATTCAAGATGGACAGTGACTAATATTTATATGTTACTTATATGTAAGGGTATAGGTCTATACATATGCTATATATAGTATGTTTAAATGTGTGTTATATACACACATTTGAGAGCAACTAAATTTCATTTTTAATGTGGGCCACAGTAAAAAATGACAATAAAGGTTATCTATCTATTTATCTATCTTAGTCCTATTCTCCTCGTTTTACAAAAGATAGAGGATTTAAAGGTATTCTTTGTCAGCTGAAAGAATAATCTCACCCTCTTCTTTATCCCAAGCATCAAGAAACTTAAAAACAAATTTTACAAACTTACCTAGCAATGTTTTCAGGAGTTAAAATTGCAAACTTCCTCCCGCAAAATTACTTCCGTCGGTGGCCACAGAGGGTACTTCTCCGAATATAAACCAATCGCTTCAGAAGAAAACTACAAAACTACATTACCCAGCGTCCCTCACGGCTGCACTTCAAACTCGGAAGTTATATTTAGTTCTGCTTGGTGGAAGTGCAAGTGGGGTCTGTTTTCTCCTTCGTCTGTTGGTAGGACTTGCTGTTGTGCGAATTTTTCCGGAGCCCGTCAGAGCCCGGGGGAAGAGATTTCATCGCTCCTCTGTTTCACTCCCTGTCTCGAAGCATAGCCATCCTCAACCATGAGAATCGCCGCCATCTTTCCCGAGCTGGACTGTTGCCTTCTTGTTTTTCTGGTGAGCTAAGGGGGAAGAGTAGCTAAGATTGATTATCTGGCTGCCTGTTTCAATCGTGGGGGCCAATAGAAAAATGAATAACTGATATTTGCGTGGTGGGCGAAAGAGGGTACATAGGCATATTTGCTCCTTATTCCCATAAATTTCTCCCCAGGAGAGAAACCGGTACCGCGGGAACCCAGCAGGGCGGGGTAGTGCCATGCTGGTGTGGCTCTGTCTGATAGGCTGCGAACTTTTCGGACCCGGAATTTCTAGCCGGCGACTGGGCGGGGTCCGAATAGGTCGGGGCAGTGGTTGATACAATACATAGCAGGATATCTGGTTGTCGGGTCTGTGTTGCATCCTACATATTGCCTTAAAAGGCGTACAATATTTGCTTGTTCAAATGGGATTTTCCTGTTGAATATGTGTCGGACTTTCAGAAGATCATCTTCGTGGCGACTTTGATTTAAAACGTATTAATACATAAAAAAACACCAACTTGTTTCTCGCTTCCTGAGTTTTGAACCACTTTCATATCCTTTGGCTAGAAATGGTCATCCCGTGTAGGACTCAGTTTTTTTAAGTATGTGATCAAATAATTGTTATATATTACCTGCTGTGTTAAATTTAATAAACATCCGGATGTATAAAAAGATATTGAACACATTAACTGCAGGTTGATAGTGATGCAGGATGGATTTTAAATTAGCTATCAATCTAGAGTTCAAAATAAAATTTGCCTCCTACTATTTCTTTTTGCCAGAGTGCCCTTCAACAAAAAAGTGAAAGTTCTTCTGGAAGTTTTAACATGCCCTTCACTTGTATTGAGAAAAGTCTCACTCACTAATACTGATGATACTAAGAAAGCACCAAAGACTCCACACAATCTCAGTGGTTGGCCATTTAACATCCCTTTCTATTTCATATAATGAAGTTATTTTATTACTTGCCTTAAATACAAAATATCTTAAACTAATCCTACTGATAAAATAATGACATACTTTATCTGTTTAGATTTGTTTAATGTTTCAGTCAAATAAAGGGATAGTTTTGATTTATTCCTAGAATATAAGATGATCTTTAACACTGCTACTTGGAAGATTATTTCATATACATTTGAGTTGGTGTTGACTCCTGATAACTGGCTGAACAAGCCCTTGCAATTTTCTTAGCAAAATTTTGGAAATTGTTAGAGAATTCCATACTTCATCTTTTAGGGCAGAGGTCCCCAACCTTTTGGGCACCAGGGACCGGTTCCATGGAGAAAGATTTTTCCACGGACCGGAGAGTGCATCGTTTTGTGTGCTGCCTGCATCCCATGGATGGGCTTCGCTTGTTTGTGTGGACTGGTTGCTGGCACACAAATATTGAATATAACAGGCCTTCTAGCAAATTTTGTTAATCCAAATAAACTATAAATCCTTTTGTTGTTGTTTCTTTCAATGAGTGCTGACTCCTGGTGACTGCTTGATCAAGTTCTTTCAGTTTTCTTGATAAGATTTCAAAAGTGGTCTGCCATTGCCTGTGTTCCATGACTGAGAGAGAGTGACTGGCCTAAGGTCACCCAGGTGGTTTTTTGCCTATGGCGGGACTAGAGCTTGTAATCTTCTGGTTTCTAGCCTAGAGCCTTAACTACTGCATCATACAGTAAAATAATTTAAAATTTTGTTTTAAATGTATAAACATACCTTAATTTCAGTGAACAGAATTCACTGAATTCACAATTCACACTGATTTCTGAGATTTGTAGAAATTAAGATTGAATGTTATAAAGCCAATGCATCAGCCACACAGCCACACAGCCATTCATTGGACAGTGAATTGACTGTTTTTGTTTGACTATTTTAGAAAGGATGGTGTAGGCCATAGATTTTTCATGGATTTCATATGTATTTTGAGAAATGCTTGAGTGAAAGTGTCTGTCTTGATTTTTCTTCTGTTATGATCTATTGCAGAAAAGATACAATCTTTCTCTGAAATTGTGTCTATAATGAAGACAATGAAGCAGATTAAAGTAATAATTGTATGTCTGTAAGTCATGGCAATTATATTTAACTTCCAGTAGCTGGGCCATTTTCTCTTACCTGGTACTTCTGCATAAATCCAAGCCTAGCTGCTAAGGTCCTTTACCTTGGATAGTTTTTAGGATTAAAGACAAAATCTTCTCCAACAAGATGGATGGTGTAAAGAGTTTTAGGGCTAAAAACCAAATGCACATATCTCTATGATATCATGGAGTACTCAGAAAAGACCAGCTTCAGATTCCATACTAGTGGAATCTGATAACTGATAGCTATCTGATTCCCTGATAGCTGCATTTAATTATCTGTAATTTCCTTACAAAGAAAACTTTAGGAAAGTTAAAACAGAACCATTCTTGCAGGCATTCCATTATCTTAAACTTAAAATCTTAAAAGCAGATATGTTCTGCTTCAACATATCCAGTGAAAGAAAGCCTGATCTCCCCCTGGGTATTTGTCTGGATATGTATGGTTCTTATTGTTCAGAGGTTGTTTCAAATTCCAATAGAATCTATCATTCTACCAATGAATCCAACATTCATATCCTATGTTCAGATATTTAACAGAATAACAGAATTGGAAGGGAGCTTGGAGTTCTTCTAGTCCAGGGGTCGGCAACCTTAAACACTCAAAAGAGTGTTTGGACCCATTTCTCACAGAAAAGAAAACACTGGGAGCCACAAAACACTTTTGACATCTAAAATTAAGATAACACTCCATATATCCTTTTTTACCTTTATGCTATGTATAAAAAACTATAGTGTGTTGCATTTATGAAATCAATGAACTGCTACAAAGAAAACAAAATTTTATGCCAGAGAAAGAGGGGAAAAAAACCTTTCTCCTTCATCCCAACAGGTGAAAACAATTTTAGTAGCTTATCTACTATCTTTAAACACAGCTCATACCTCATCTCTTAATTTAAAAAAATCAAAATATTTCATTAAATGTTCTTTACTAAAAGTCCAGTAAGGACAACATATATTCATATTCTCTCTCTCTCTCTCTCTCTCCCTCTCTCTTTCTCTCTCTCCCTCCCTTTCTCTCTCTCTCTTTCCTCTCTCTCTCCCTCTCTCCGATCTTCTGCTCGCCTGGCCAGCTGGCCTCACGCTGTTCTCCAACAAGCTGACACACATTCTTATTGGGCTGGCTCTCTCCTGCCCTTGGTCTGCCAGTCCTCTTCCCCCACTAAGTAAGTAAAAGTGTGTGAGTGTGTGTGTATGAGAGAGAGAGAGAAAGCTGCTGCTTTCTGCTTCCTGCGGAGAAGCAGCAAGAGCAGGGAGCCCGCCCAGAGAACAGCGTGAGGCCAGCTGGCCAGGTGAGCAGAAGATCAGAGAGAGCGAGAGAGCGCAAGTGCCTCTCTGTCTCTCTCTCTCTGCAAATCTGTGGAGGAGGATTGGGAGCCGCAGTAGAAGGCTGAAAGAACCACATGTGGCTCCAGAGCCGCAGGTTTCCGACCCGTGTTCTAGTCCCATGCTGTTGTGAGTCCGTGCCAGCCAGTGGACCCGGCAGCTGAGTCCAGGGAATCAGAGGAGGAGGAGGAAAAGGGGTTTGGAGAGCCATCAAAGTCAGAGGCAGGTTCTGATGAGTTACAAGACTCAATCTGATGAAGAGCCTGATCCCTCCAATCGTGGTCAGGATGAGACACAGCTGTGTGGGGAAGATGTGTCAGACTCTGAGGACTCACAGCTGGAAGTCATTAGAGACGCTCGTAAAAGAAGGCAGTTAACTAGAGCAGGTCAGAGGGAGTCAATATGGCAACTCCAAGGGAGGAGAAGGCATTGAGAAGCCACGCCTTGGGGCTGCTTAATAAAAAGGGAAGATATGGGTAGTACTGTTGGAAACGTGATTAAAATACCAACAAAATTGGATTGGTAAGAAAAAGAGTTTATTCTGCAGAAAATAGAAAAGCGGTTTGCAAAGCGCGGTGGATCCTGGTGAGAGACTTCAACAGGAAGTTCTAAACCCAGAGACCACACAAAAATATTCAAACTCATAACATTATATACACTCCTATCGTGACGCCCCCATCCCCTCCCCTTTGGTCCCATTTGAGAAGACTTCCGGGGGCACAATCTGTCCGATCCGCCTAACCAGAATACATCATCCCTCCCCCTCAGTTACATTGTTCAGAATTTCTCTCTGCCATCCTTTTGTCTTGTTAAGTGTGTCTTCTAGTCAAGCCTCCTGAAATCTAGTGCCTACATCTAGTGCCTACGTGCAGGGCTTGGCTAATCCTTCTATTGTTAATCAATTGTGACCGTTTTATTTTTAAACTTCTTCCTTTCTCACAGTAATGATTGCCAAAGGCAACCGTTGCAAAGTACTTCATGGGATCATGTTCTGTTGGTATTGCCGGTGACTAATTCCTTGTTTTTCATTGTGTTTCGTGTGGACAATTTCCTCCATTTGGATTGTGTTTTGTTGCTTTTGGACCATTTGGCAGGTTTGTTACCAATATTAAAAGGGGTTTTGTTTTCTTCTGAGTCTCCAGCCTATTTCTCAAAAGGGGTTTTGTCCTTGTGCATTTAACAAGGACGGCTATAGGCTGGGACAGAATACATGCCCTGTTGAAGCAGGAAACCCTACTATACCATTTCAGATAGAGTTGTCCAATCACTTCTTAAACACCTCCACTATTGGAACACTCGCAGTGACCGGAGGCAAGTGTTCCACTGATTATTATTCTAAGTACCAGGAAATTTCTTTTTGATTCTAGGTTCTCTCCGTAACTTTGAATGGTCACTAAGTGAACTGTCGTAAGTCGAAGACTATCTCTACTAGTATTTCCTCCCAGTCTTGAAAGATTAACATTCCCATCAGAATGTTTAAATTTCTAGTCACCCTAATCAACTTCATTGTTCTTTTCTAAACCTTATCCAATTTGAATTGTGTAATCCACACAATTGGACACAGTACTTGATGAGGTGAGAGAGCCAGTTTGGTGTAGTGGTTAAGGCATAAGGCTAGAAACCAGGAAACCCAGGGAGCTCTAAT